ATTTCAAATAAATTATTTTTTTTAATATTGCATTAAAAAGCAAACATACATTCTTCTAAAATGTTTATAGAAAAATTATGTTGCAAAATATTTAAAGAAATCCTTTTAAATATATATGTAATTATTTTTTTCCAATATTTTTAAATCCGACTTTTTGAAACTATGTTGCCTTGAGAATTCTACTAATACATTCTTAGAGTTAGGTACTGACTGACAGTAGACTTAGGTAATTTTTGACAGCGTTTCACTTCTTGATGTTCAGTGTCCTTTAGAAAAAATGACAAGCCCCAATTTCTTTATATTCTTTGTTTGCAAATTGCAATTGAAACAAGTAAGAAATTATAGTCGGGCGAGGCCGACCATATAATACCCTACACCTGTTACAAAAATAAAATGTGATTTAGTTTTCATAATAAAGCACTAAGGTTGAATTGCACCTTGCCTTGAATTATACTTAAGCCATTTATTGTTGAATAAAATTGTGGACATTTAAGTCAAATTTTGAAGGGGGATTTGTATAGGGGCTATGGTCAAATGAGACCCTATAATTATAAAATTCATGAGAGTTATCAAGGCTAGTACAGAACTTGGTTTTGCAGCTTTTTGTCGAGATGCGAGTATAATAAACATAATTATAAACTTAAAATCCCTATTTGTCGGGTTCAGTTGTATGGGGTCTAGGTGAAATAATGGACCGATGTTAACCATTTTCAGTATGCTTCGTCTCCGGTACCATAGAAGATCATCTGCCAAATTTCATTGAATTATCTTCAAAATTGCGACCTGTAGTTTGATTACAAGGTTTACAAGCCCTGTTCGGGGGTTCAGTTGTATGGGGGCTAGGTGAAATAATGGACCGATATTAACAATTTTCAATAGGCTTCGTCCCTAAGACAATAGAAGATCATATGCCAAATTTCAATGAATTATCATCAAAATTGCGACCTGTAGTTTGATTACAAGGTTTACAAGCCCTATTCGGGGGTTCAGTTGTATGGGGGCTAGGTGAAATAATGGACCGATATTAACCATTTTCAATAGGCCTCGTCCCTGGGAAGATCATGTGCCAAATTTCATTGAATTATCTTCAAAATTGCGACCTGTAGTTTGATTACAAGGTTTACAAGCCCTATTCGGGGGTTCAGTTGTATGGGGGCTAGGTGAAATAATGGACCGATATTAACCATTTTCAATAGGCCTCGTCCCTGGGACAATAGAAGATCATGTGCCAAATTTCATTGAATTATCTTCAAAATTGCGACCTGTAGTTTGATTACAAGGTTTACATGGACGGACAGACGGACGGACGGACGGACAGACGGACGGACATAGCTAAATCGACTCAGAAAATGATTCTAAGCCGATTGGTATACTTTAAGGTGGGTATAGGACCAATATTATTGTGCGTTACAAACATCAGCACAAATCCAATATACCTTCCCCACTAAAGTGGTGTAGGGTATAAAAACTTAACACGTGCCTTTTTAGAGAAAACAATAAATTCCAAAAATTAAAAAATAATTTTAAAAACCCAATGAAATTAACTGGAATTCTAACAAATAAAGCTGACTACATGCCATAACATTCAGTAAAACCACATGTCAAAATTTTCAAACGGAATTAAAAATTCAAACTTACTGAAAATACTGATCGAAAATTGAAAATCGTAGGTATATTTTTAACTTTTTTTGAAAATTTTCAAAGCGATTGGATTTTTTTCGTGTGTAGGCAGCTTCAGAAATTATAGCTTTTTGTCGAAATACGAGTATATTAAACATAATTATGAACATAAAAGCCCTATTCGACGGGTTCAGTTGTATAGGAGCTAGATGATATAAAGGACCGATGTTAACAATAGAAGACAATAGAAGATCATGTACCAAATTTCATTTGAATTATCTTAAAAAATGGTACAGTAGAAGATTATGTGCCAAATTTCATTGAATTCTCTTCAAAAGTGCGATCTGTAGTTTGATTCCAAGGTTTACAAGCCCTATTCGGGGGTTCAGTTGTATGGAGGCTAGGTGAAATAATAGACCGATGTTAACCATTTTCAATAGGTTTCGTCCCTGGGACAACATTTCATTTGAATTATTTTAAAAGAATACCATGATACAACCATAGGATGGTAGAATCAGTAGGGAGAGTTGTCAATTCTCTGCCTTGTTAAGTCAAACAAAAAAGAACTAAAAAGATAAAAACTTAAAAATCTTCAAATGAAAACCACGAAAAATACCATGAAATGATTCTTGAACGGCACACGCAAACAGCATTCCACAATTCTGTATACTGTTTTTGATTTTTATTGGTTTTACAATCTTTTTGATTCAAATTATTCAATTTTATTTTCTTAACAAAAAATTTTCAATAATTTTTATTTGATGTTTTTCTTTATATTTTTTAATTTTCTTTTTTGTGACAATTCAAGGCATGTAAAATTGAGAACGTACTTTTCTACTGATTCTACCTTATTATTGTTTTATTATGACTGTGTGCCAAACGGCAGCAAAGTTCTATGGTAAAATAAAATTTTCTTATGGTGGAAAATATTATCACTTTTGCTGTGCCAAACGAAATCTTTTTTGATTACATTAAATTTTGACAATTGTCACTAATTTCACAAGAAAATCTGCATTTATTTTAATAAAAGAAACACTTTTATTGATTTTTTTATTTTTAAAATAAACTTCTACAATCACAAATGTATTACGAACTAAAATTATAAAATATTTCATCTTTTGTATTTTCAAATTTTTCTTTTCAATAGTCAAAAATTTATGTAGCCCGATGAGCTAGTAAAATTTTATTCACCTCATATCTATCAAAAATTTACATTTTCAAATAAATTGTTACCGATTGGCACACACTCTATGAAAGAATACCTTTTTGTCGAATTTCATTTATGAACAAAAACAAAATGCTCTTAAAAAAAGTAGGCAGAAAACTTGGTTGATTCTCTGTATATCATAAATCATAGAATTAAAAGGTCTATAGGTGGTAAAATTTTTGTCAAAATTGGAGAGTTATACCCAATGTATATTTGTTCCGCAAGTCGTTGTTGATAAAATTTTTAAGATAAAATAAGCAATCAAATGAATATTTATGGTTTAATTGGAATACATAGTAGTGTAAAAATGTCACTAAACACATAATATAAAACTTTGAAAAGTGCGACATTAACCGTACATGCCTAAAATTTCTTCAGCATTTCACTGGCAATTTATTTCAGATTTCGTAGAACAGTCTGGCCAACAAATTTAAAACTCCGATTTTTTCGAGTTATGATTTCTTTTCATGCACTTAGCAAATTCCCTAATATTTTGTTATCAACATAGGATACGATTTTGTGCTGGATGTCGGTACGATAAATGATCAAATTTCACAAAAAAATCTGCTGGCTGACTAAGGACCTTGGAAGAATTTCTGACTTTTATATATAAACAGCAGCTATAATCAAATTAAAATTTGACAATTTAACAGTTTGGAGATGTAGACATATCTTTCCAGGCTTAACAAAATACACACTCAATATGTATGTATGTATTTGAGACTATCAGTACTCATTGTAAGTTAAATTTATATTTATAAAACACAATATTTTTTGTTAAACAATAACAATAAAAAAATGGATATGTTTTTAATTTCACAGTTTAGAACTAAGAACTATGTGCATATGTATATTTATTTGTAATCTCTAATTCCACTGTAGTTTCTAATAAAATTTACCAAACAAATTATTACTAAAAAAAAGTTCTTTTCATTTATAAATAATTGCAACTTTTATATTTTTTGTAAACCGGTTTTTATTTTGTTTATATCTATATGTAGCTTATTAAGAATGTTTATTATCCACTACATGCCAATAAAAATGAATATGGCGGCAGTCTGCGTTATTTTTTTTTAATGGTATAATTGGATTTGTATTGCAGAGCTGTGATGATAACTCTTGCAATTTAAAACCGCTACATTAGTGCCGAAAATCGCCAAAATATACAAGATAAATTCTTAGCTATACATTATAGCGATTTTGTGTACAAAAATAAGACACATACAGGGCTGCCAGATGAATTTTTGAAAAAATCGTCAATTTCCCGATAAATTTTTAAATAATCGTCATTTTGGTTTTAAGAAATCGTCAAAAAAATCGGAGAATATGAAAAGCTTAAAATTTTTATAAAAAATTAAAAATATTGTAATATTTTAAGATGAAATATATTAAAAAATGTATAATATTAATACATATTTATGTAAAATTCGAAAAATACGGAATATTATTGCTCAAAATTCAATAAACTTTTAGTTTTGAAGAATATTCGACAGTAATGTTAATTCTTTTCTAATGTTTTCAATGTTTCATTTTTTAAAATATCATACATAACACATATAGTTTTTAGGTATAGAAACTTGTCCATCTTTTTCCTTAAATTTCTCAGTTTGTTGCATTACAATATTGCTTGTTTTGGTGCACAAGGAATATTTTAATCTTATTAAGCAAAAAACAGTTTTTAAAATTTTTGAAAGTTTTCTGTAAACAAGTAGTTACCCAGCAAAAAATATTCTTGATTTGGAAGCAATAAATATAACTACTGCATCTTTAACTCCTTCCTTTATTGCATCTTAAAATGATTGCCTTACAAAAAAGATTTTGGAAGGCATATATTCAGCAATTATGTCGTGTGCACCCTGTAGTAGGGCAAAATTTAAAAAGAAGACGGAAAGAGAAGTTGGCAACGCGGCTGTACAAACTAACTGACAGCTGGAAAATGTAAACAAAAACAAAACTATAATGTAAAAAAACTATACGGTTTAGATAAATGGCTGAAATGGTGTTAAATTGATGGGAACCATATTGGTAACCGAGGTTTCTCGTTACCTAAAAAGTAAGATGTCGGTCCTTTTCAAATTTCCCTGCCCAAGAAGAAGGTGGAGCCCGTGGCCGTCAAGAACAACAACAAGAATTTTAATTTAAATTAAATAATTCCTTGTTTTTTTTTTATTCATAAAAGTTTTAAACTAAATTAAATCAATCTTAAAGCTAAATAAAGCGAGAAACATAATACTAAAGCAGCAACTCTGAGTCACGCCATCGCCAGCTCCATCCAGCGTGGGACTACTCTAGCAGATCCGCACCAACAGTCCTATGGTGTCCAGGTATTAAGGTTTTCGACATAAGTGTACCTCTTACCCGAACGACAGAACGGACAGAACCTGTCCTTTTAGATAATTTCTATATAAAAAAAAAAATAAAAAAAAAATTTTGTAAACAAAAAAAAAAAAAATAAAAGCTATATATTCGTTTATAGGCAAACCTTACGGTTAGTAGCTCGAAGCCAGTCCGCTGGTTGAAATTGAACCAGGCGTGCGCGTAAGGTTAGGATTGAGCTCAGGCCTACTTATGAATAGTGTCGCGGTAGATTTGTACTCATAGGTTGCCGGAAACCAGTATATACAAAAAAAAAGAAAAAAAAACCCAAATTATTTAAAAGGTTCTTGTAATATATATATTTTTGTTACTTACCTGAAATACCCGAACAGACTGTAAAACGGACGGACAGAAAACCACACCTGCAAACCAGCTCTCCTCAATAGTCCATTTGCGTTAGTCCTGCCAGCTGTCCATGTTGAGGAACCTGAAAGTAGAAGGGAAAATCTTGAATTAAAAGAAGAAAAACTCAAAATGAATTAAAAACTTAAATGAAATTTGAAACCTAAAACTTAAAAACTATAATTTGCTAAAAATTAAAATCTAAAAATTTGAGTAAATCTTGAAATCTAAAAGCTAAAATCCTAAAAACTAAATCTTGTTAAAACTTAAAAACTAAATTTTGTTAAAACTTAAAAACTAAATTTTGTTAAAACTTAAAAACTAAAGTTGGTTAAAATCTTAAAACTAAAAACTAAATTTGCTAAAACCTAAATTTGCCTAATATTTTAAAATTTTTCTAAAACTCAAATTCTAAATTTCGATGAGACATTGTTAATTTTTTTTCTATAATAAACAAAAATTTTTTATAATGTTTAAATGAAATTTTAAAATTTTGTTATCATTAATATGATCGGCTAACTTTATTAATAATCGGCGGTAAGTAGGGTGAATAAATGTTTGCAGGGAAGGTATGGGACGTCGAGGAAGATGACGTCATGGCGAGGATGAATCCTCGAGAGGGAGGGTCATAATTTGTGTATAGGTATGACCGTAGGGAGATGCAGGACTACTTTTGGCCCCTTTTTCAAATAATACCCCAAATGCTGGTATGAATTTTTGTGTTAGTGTGTGTTTGTGGTCCAGATTGCCGGCAAGAACCACCCCATCCGGCGAGCTTTAGCGCCCCACGTTGGGCGCCACTAACACAAAAATTCACACCACATTTATGTAGTGGTGTGTTGTGTCAGCTGTTTGTTTAAATAAACAAACAGACAACATAAAGAATAAAAAAGGGACAGGGTGGCCAGATTGCTAGCGGCGCTGGTATGCCCGCGTATTGCGCAGCTAAAGCTCGCCGGATGGGGTGGTTCTTGCCGGCAATCTGGACCACAAACACACACTAACACAAAAATTCATACCAGCATTTGGGGTATTATTTGAAAAAGGGGCCAAAAGTAGTCCTGCATCTCCCTACGGTCATACCTATACACAAATTATGACCCTCCCTCTCGAGGATTCATCCTCGCCATGACGTCATCTTCCTCGACGTCCCATACCTTCCCTGCAAACATTTATTCACCCTACTTACCGCCGATTATTAATAAAGTTAGCCGATCATATTAATGATAACAAAATTTTAAAATTTCATTTAAACATTATAAAAAATTTTTGTTTATTATAGAAAAAAAATTAACAATGTCTCATCGAAATTTAGAATTTGAGTTTTAGAAAAATTTTAAAATATTAGGCAAATTTAGGTTTTAGCAAATTTAGTTTTTAGTTTTAAGATTTTAACCAACTTTAGTTTTTAAGTTTTAACAAAATTTAGTTTTTAAGTTTTAACAAAATTTAGTTTTTAAGTTTTAACAAGATTTAGTTTTTAGGATTTTAGCTTTTAGATTTCAAGATTTACTCAAATTTTTAGATTTTAATTTTTAGCAAATTATAGTTTTTAAGTTTTAGGTTTCAAATTTCATTTAAGTTTTTAATTCATTTTGAGTTTTTCTTCTTTTAATTCAAGATTTTCCCTTCTACTTTCAGGTTCCTCAACATGGACAGCTGGCAGGACTAACGCAAATGGACTATTGAGGAGAGCTGGTTTGCAGGTGTGGTTTTCTGTCCGTCCGTTTTACAGTTTGTTCGGGTATTTCAGGTAAGTAACAAAAATATATATATTACAAGAACCTTTTAAATAATTTGGGTTTTTTTTTTTCTTTTTTTTTTTGTATATACTGGTTTCCGGCAACCTATGAGTACAAATCTACCGCGACACTATTCATAAGTAGGCCTGAGCTCAATCCTAACCTTACGCGCACGCCTGGTTCAATTTCAACCAGCGGACTGGCTTCGAGCTACTAACCGTAAGGTTTGCCTATAAACGAATATATAGCTTTTATTTTTTTTTGTTTACTAAATTTTTTTTTTTATTTTTTTTTTTATATAGAAATTATCTAAAAGGACAGGTTCTGTCCGTTCTGTCGTTCGGGTAAGAGGTACACTTATGTCGAAAACCTTAATACCTGGACACCATAGGACTGTTGGTGCGGATCTGCTAGAGTAGTCCCACGCTGGATGGAGCTGGCGATGGCGTGACTCAGAGTTGCTGCTTTAGTATTATGTTTCTCGCTTTATTTAGCTTTAAGATTGATTTAATTTAGTTTAAAACTTTTATGAATAAAAAAAAAACAAGGAATTATTTAATTTAAATTAAAATTCTTGTTGTTGTTCTTGACGGCCACGGGCTCCACCTTCTTCTTGGGCAGGGAAAAATGAAAAGGACCGACATCTTACTTTTTAGGTAACGAGAAACCTCGGTTACCAATATGGTTCCCATCAATTTAACACCATTTCAGCCATTTATCTAAACCGTATAGTTTTTTTACATTATAGTTTTGTTTTTGTTTACATTTTCCAGCTGTCAGTTAGTTTGTACAGCCGCGTTGCCAACTTCTCTTTCCGTCTTCTTCTTTTTAAATTTTGCCCTACTACAGGGTGCACACGACAATTATTGTTTGTGATGTAGAAATTTGCTTCTCAACAGCTCTAAAATCACTTAATTTTTGCATCTTTCTAAATTTAAATCAATGTTCAGTGTTGAAAAATAATATTAATTCACGGAAATCAGCGCAATTTCAACAGTATGAAATATGCACATTTTGGATTCCTTAGGCAGAGCCTCTACGAGAGGAATCCCATATAAAAATCATATATTCTTTCATAACAAGTGCAAGCATTAACAACTGCTCTCTGCCTTACAAATATGCTTCCGAGGAAGCACTATTTTTTGCTGAGTAGATATAAAAAGATTAAACTTGGCGAGATTTTTTCGTATAATTTAGTTCTTTTACAAAACTTGTTTGTACTTGTTTGGATTTAACTTATACAGTGTGAAAATTTGGTTCAGATCTGTCGATCTCTTCAAAAGTTATAAGAAATAATGTACATAGCATACACATTTAGATGTAAAATATGTTTAAGCTTTGAGAGCTTAAAACTCAAAACACACTTTTTCGACTTTGAATGTTTTATAATAGCTCTTCTAGAATTTAATTTCTAGTTTTCATTATAATATAAATTCTATTTTTACTGAATTCCAAGTTTAATATTAATTTCCTTTTTTCACTGTAAAATAAAAAATAAAAAAATTATAAAATCTTTATTTTTTTTTTAATTTTTCAAAAATCGTCAGTTTCAAGGAAAAAATCGTCAAATCGTCACTTTGCTATTTTTGAAACGAAGAATCGTCAAAATGACGATAAATCGTCATTTACACTACAGCGAAATCTAGTACTTATGAGATTTCAGCAAATCTAGTTGATTTTAACTAGTTTTCCCATACAGGCTGTGTGCCAAACGGTAGAAAAGTTCTATGGTAAAATAAAATTTTCTTATGGTGGAAAATATTATCACTTTTGCTGTGCCAAACGAAATCTTTTTGATTACATTAAATTTTGACAATTGTCACTAGTTTCACAAGAAAATCTGCATTTATTTTAATAAAAGAAACTCTTTTATTGATTTTTTTATTATTAAAATGAATTTCTACAATCACAAATGTATTATAAACTAAAATTATAAAATATTTTATTTTTTGGATTTTCAAATTTTTCATTTAATTTGTCAAAAATTTATGTAGCTCTATGAGCTAGAGTGTGTGCCAATCGGTAACAATTTACTTGAAAATGTAAATTTTTGATAGATATGATTTGAATAAAATTTTACTAGCTCATCGGGCTACATAAATTTTTGACAATTGAAAAGAAAAATTTGAAAATACAAAAATAAAATATTTTATAATTTTTGTTTGTAATACATTTGTGATTGTAGAAATTTATTTTAAAAATAAAAAAATCAATAAAAGTGTTTCTTTTATTAAAATAAATGCAGATTTTCTTGTGAAATTGGTGACAATTGTCAAAATTTAATGTAATCAAAAAAGATTTCGTTTGGCACAGCAAAAGTGATAATATTTTCCACCATAAGAAAATTTTATTTTACCACAGAATTTTGCTGCCGTTTGGCACACAGTCCTAGTAAAATTTTATTCACCTCATATCTATGAAAAATTTACATTATCAAGTAAATTGTTATCGATTGGCACACACTCACAAAACAAAATCTACGTTATTAGTACATTTCGGCAAAATCTAGTAAAAATAGAAATGTAACTCTGGGTTTTCCTAAATAATACTAAAAAATACGACGCTGCACAAGAAAAAAACAAAACAAACAAAGAAAAATAAAAATGTCGACAAAATTTTAATAAATTGGAAAACATGAATGAAAAGTTAATTTAAAATAGAAGGTAATGTAATATTTAAATATCTATTTTTTATTCTAAATGAAATTCTAGTAAATTGTGCATATTTCCCTCTAATTTTTCATATCAAACACAATTTGGACAAATATTAGAAAAAATTAAATCTTCCTAAATGTCAAAAATACGAAGTGTAAACGGTCTACATTTGAAGAATGATTTCGATGCAGTGTAAATAGGGTATAATATTACATTCGAATTTTGATCCTACTTACATATCGCTCATTTACTACGAGACTGACATAATAATGGTTTTGAATATTTAACATTTTACTATTTTTTAAATAAATTTTAAACAAATCAAGGTATTTGAAAAAATTAACCAGATTTAAGGGCTCTTCAGACGATCACATTTTACGTACGTAAAGTCTAAATGTGGAAGTACACAATACGCGTTGAGGCGGCAACGCGTTTCACGCTTTTAAAACTTATAAGCGGCACACACCACGCGTCATTTTAATCTTTCTTTTAAAGTTTATTAAGACTATTACTGTTTTAAAAATCAAAATTTTAAGTTTTTGTATATTTTTTAATATTTTTCTTTTATTGATGGAAAAATTTATTTCATTTTATGGTGATTTCTTTTCTGATAAAAAATGTTGCCAACATGTTTTGTAGCACTTATTAGAGGTTACACAAACCCTCATAATGTGTTGCATTTTAAACGATCATAAAAGAACAAAAATCATTGCCCTTTATGCAATTATTTAGGTTGTTTTTATCCATTTAGCGTTTTTTTAAGTAATTAACGATTTTAAAACTAATGATTATATACAAAATGAAAAAATATTTTTTTTAATTATCCAAATAATTTCCAATAAAATTATTTATTATTTTCGGAAAGCTAACTTTACGAAGAATGTTTTAAAGAAAAAAAAATATTTTTACCATGGGCTTTAGTAATTTTTTTAGATTTTTTCGATATAGTTACAATAACAAAAACAGCTGTTTCAATAGTGCTGCACTTCCAACCCTTTGATTAAATTCAGGGTGAAACATGAAGCATATTTTCAGGTTTTTAGGGCTACATTATTTGAAAAGAACACGTTATACATTTACAAAGTTACATTTTTTTTAACAAAAGAATGGCAAAAGGCAGAATAAATGCAAAAAGAAATCACCATTAGTTTCTACACAAAACAAAATACAGCTGCCGACGCGTCAAAAGTTGCTGAACTTTTCGCGGCAGACGCGTTACAAACTACTTGTCAAATGAAAATACACTATTTCAACTTTTTTTGACAGAAGTCTATAACGCGTTGCCGCGTACAACGCGTGTTGTGTACTTTCACCTTAATGAAAAAGTAAAATTAAATTCCATCCGTATAACAAAAAAGAGAATAAAAGTCGTATGATTTATATTTTTTTTTTGTTTACACGATTGGTTTAAAACAATAACAAAGTAAGATGGAAATAGCTGTTTCACTTTTTTTGTATGTGTTTATATAAAAATACATGCCTGATCTAATGCGACATGCTTGTTTTTTGAATCATTTCAAAAAATGAAGAGAGCCATACGACTGTCAAATTGTCCATCCGTATTTTCTCTCAATGTGTGATGGTCTCATTACATATTGCGCAGTGTACACTTAAGGCTTAAGTTAGTTTGAAAGTTCCGTAACGTTTCCGTCCTGTAACGTTCCGTTGACTGTTTATGTGTAGTTAGTTTCTATGTAAGAATGTAGTAGCTGTTTTTAATAATAAGCAAAAAAAGCAACTCTGATTTGTTGTGTCAAAAATCAGAGTTGATTTTCTTTTTTTGTGTTTTAAGCTAGATTAATTAATATTATAAAATAATTAATTATATTCTTATATAATTAATATAAAAAGTAAAAATTTTATCGAAAAACGATTTTTTGTTTTCTTTCTTGGTCTTTTCTTTTTTTTCTTATGGCGTTTATGTTGAATGTAATGTCAACTTTTATATTTTCTCTGACATATTTCAGAGTTTTAAAGTAATTAATCGTAATAATTAAAATTTTCTGTTGTACATTATTTTTAAAATATTAACATCACTGTTTTTTTCTTGTTAACAATTTTTTACATTTTATGTCAGCTGTTCATAGCTGTCACTTAACGTTGCGGATTGATTTCTATTTTCTACAGGTTCATCCGCAACGTAACTTCAATGTTACGGCAAAACTACCGACTTACACAGCTTTTCGTAAGCCAAAAACGAATCAGCTGATTCATCACGGAACGGAACGTAGAGACTAACTGAGCCTTTAATAAGGTAGACTCGTCGCTGCGACAAATACAACAATACTAAAACAACAACAGGAAATTTGTTATTGTGAAATAATCCCATCTGTCAAAATTATTTACACGCGGAGAATAAAAATGCAACAAATAAACATAATAAAAATATGAGTTTTAAGCAAGTATTTGAAATTTTGATATATCAAATTAATTAAATGTGGAATGCCTGAAAATCTTACAGTGTAAGACAAGAATGTGTAAATGATGGTAAAATATTTAAACCTTCCGTTTAATTTTTTAAACTAAAACTATATTTTAAAAGTTTTATGTTTTTTAAAACCGTATTTACTGAAGATATTTTTAAACTAAAATAAATGAAAAATCATCTTAATTATACTTTAGAAAAATAAAAAATTAAAATGCAACTGGATAATGACCCCAAATATAAGGCTAAAACCACTTGATTTTTCCAAAAAGTGTTAAATTTGTATATCTATATATGCCCCTACAGTCGCCAGAGTTAAACCCGATTGATAATTAAGGGCAAACTGGGATTTACAATTACGAACACCCATGTAAAAACACAATAGACCTCTGTAGAGCTGCCATGAAGTATGGATGTTTATAACGCAAGAAGCGTGTTACGAACTGATTGAGATTATGCCTTTCAGAGTTGAAACTATCGCTGAACAAAGAGAAGATACAAAATAAGAAAATGTTAATTTATAATAAAAACGTTACTTTAGTACCAAGCGCCAAAT